TTTATAAGTATATGTAATTTTTTTATGGATTTGTGAAAATTTCAAATTTTTAAGCTTTTTACACCAAAAAATTTCGTGAAAGAAATCTATGTATTATACATTAATACTATAAGGACTGATGTTACATAATTCTCAAAAATTTGTAAGTTACTATAATGTTTATAGTTTACAGTAGTTATAAATTCTTAATAGAATTTATCGGCCCCTAGTAAAAGTTCTTCTAAAGTAATCAATCCTTATAATGTTAATATTGCTTTACTAATATTTTTTACTATTTTACTATTATTTACTATTATTCTTTAAACTTCTATAATAAAGTTAATATTCTTATTCTAGAATTGCCAAGGAAATACCGCAGGATCAAGATGCGACTTTTGCGCAGACAGTTTCTATGGACATCCAGACTTTGGTTGTAAACCTTGTCCCTGTCCACAAGCAGATAAAAGATTTTCAAACACTTGTACGGTTCTTGCCAATGCGGAACCAACTTGCGTTTGTAAACCTGGTTTGTATCTTTGTTATACATAATAAAATTACATAATAAAAATCTGTCACACTTTTTATGTATTTTATAGTGCGTATTATATTAAAATAGATCTATTTTTAGTATGAAAAATATTTGCTTTGCGTGAACGCAATGTTTCATTTACAATTTTATTTAATTGATTCATATCAAATTTTTGTTTTTTAACATTGCGGCTATAAAAGAATTTATGTAATACTTTTTTTTATTTCTACCATTTGAATTCTACAATTATAATTTAATATAATATGAATTTATAATAACACACTTATAATTATAATATATTATTTAATTATAATTATTCTTTAATTTATGAAATGTTATATTTTTATAAACATAGGTAATTAAAAAAATGAAATCAAAATAGAAATTGATTCCAGCTATTAAATATCATAATGAATGCTCTATTTTTATTTGTATAATTTTGCATTGTATATGCTTTCTGATTGTGAATGCTCTATTTTTATTTGTATAATTTTGCATTGTATATGCTTTCTGTGGAATCTTAAATTTCCTAAAAATGTATTAATATCCATAGTTTAATTATGATAGATTTTCGTTCTAATGGATTGATTTTTGAAAGGATGAAATTTATGAAAAAGAAATTCATTTTGCATTCTTCATGTGCATAGGTTACACTGGCAGAAAATGCGAACGGTGCTCACCCGGGTATTACGGATCTCCCCATGTTCCTGATGGCAAATGTATTCCATGTGATTGCAATCCTGCTGGAAGTTTGAACGATGAATGCGACACAGAAATGGGACAGTGTAGATGTAGAGCTGATTCTACGGGTCGTGATTGCTCTAAATGTACTGCATATCGTCATGTTTATATAAATAACGTTTGCACATGTAAGTAAAGAATATTTTACTCGCTTAAAATGGATATATATTTTTATACAAAATCTTTTATTTCATTAGAAATTATAAATTAAAGCTTTAATATTCTAGATTGCTTTTGCTAAAAATTATAAATTGAAGCTTTAGTATTCTAGATTGCTCTTGAATTTTAAAAATTATTGCTAAATAATTTATTCAATATCATGTGTGTTAAAATTATTTGGTAATATTTATAGAAATTCTAGAAAACAATTATTGTTCGAATAAAAGTTTTAACGTTTTAAAATTAATTTTTTAACGTTCATTAATTCCTAAATTATTTTTTACTAGCATGTAACGATAACTGTACCGGTATATTGCTTGACACTGTGGTTGCACTTTCACAAAAATTAGCAGAAGGCACCACTCATATAGCCAATGGTTATATTCCTCCTCCATGGGAAGATTTATCTTACATTAGCTCGAACATAACAACATTTCTAGAGGAAATAAATCTTCAGAATAAACTAAAACAAGAAATGAAAAATATACCCTGGCACGAGTACAGAGGTCTTAT